GAAGTCGCATCTGAATTGTCGCCAAAAATCAATGATATAATTAACTCAAGAGTACAGAGATTTAAGACAAATAAAGACTTATATGAATACATAATAATGAGTTTAATCCCCAATTGACGCAAACGTTCGCCGATATCGGTGTCAAAGCGATGCATATCCTTGTCGTCGAAGTGTCCAAAGTTTGTCAACAAAGCGATCTTCTTGTCCGACAACTTCTTAAGCCGCGTGTAGTCCACGAGCTGTTTGATGGCCTCATCCAACGCGTCCATCACTGGCCACAGACATCGCAAACACACCGTAAGTAAACACAAAACTCACTAAAAACTACTGAAAGACAATACCACTGATGGGATCCGATGTGACGCGCGTCACGTCCGACAAGTCGCTCATAAGATGCCTCAAGAGGTGGAAATTTGGTGGACACATGAGACCACCCTTTTGGGGGACCACTCGCACGCCATCGGAGGCCGAGAACTGCATCAATAGGTACTCATTCTTGGTTTCGGCGAATATCTTCTGGCGGACAATGTTTTGCAGGCATTGTATCGACACTTCAAACACACTTCTGTCGCCCCGACGGCACTCGTCTCGCATAGTCTTCGCGCAATCCATGGCTAATACGATGCCCTCCTGTGTCCACACAAAACACATGCATTAGAGACCCGTGTTTTCGGTGACAATCACTTTCGGCACTTACTTTTGAANGTCTTCGCGCAATCCATGGCTAATACGATGCCCTCCTGTGTCCACACAAAACACATGCATTAGAGACCCGTGTTTTCGGTGACAATCACTTTCGGCACTTACTTTTGAATTGCGGCTCATTTTTCGTGCACTTGTTGTCCGACTTCTCGGCGATTGAATCGATGGTGTAATGAATGGTCGAAATGAAGTGCAAATCAATTGTCAGCGCAAGTGATGCCAACAAACAAAGCAAACAGTGTTTGCAAACACTCACTGAAACTGCATTCAAAAAATAAACTATTATTTTGTGATGAAATGTATTGCAGACAACATGTGAAATGTTAAGTCCTATTCACATACAATAGGACTATAGTAGTAATAGTGAAGCCATTTGGCATACAAGAGATGGGGTTGTATTCCCAATGAAACACTGTAATCATCAAGTCAATGCATGAAGAGTGGAGTATACCATAGCCTATGGTCCATAGGTATGCATAGAATACTTACCTGAGAGGTAGTGAGTGGTGTGTACTGTAGTGCATAGACATAGACATACTGTAGTGTATGGTATAGGCAGGACAGACAGGTGCGATTGGCCTCTCCTCCTCTCAATTGTTGTACTCATATTCACAGGAAATACTGGAACCCTCTCTCCCGCTCTCTCTCAAAGACTTGTGCTCTCTATTCATGAGTTGTTTGCCTCACAACACAGTTATCCGTCTCTCTCTCCGTCCCGTCGCATAACATATGCCATCAAATTCTTGACCAACATTTCTACTGAACATATACTT